ATACTCCAACCTGGTTGCTAATTATCTTTCTCCTTAAATCGTATGCCGTAAGTTGCTCTGCCTGTTGGCTGATACCAATGACAATGCTTGAACCCACCTTATGACATAAATTCAAACACTTCAGTTCTATGATTTAGCGATTATTTGACAGTATAATCAAAGCTCAACAAAACATGTGAACATAATTTTTTTTCTGTATTGGCCTTTACACAAATCGCTGAATATAGGACTTGTGGTTGCTACCTGATGGGTCTATTGCGTAGTTAACTGCAATTTTAATTCCAGTTAGACTAAAAAATGTTTAGTATTTTACAATGTTTCGCCGTCTCTTTCGCTATTATCATTGACACTGCAATTGAATCAAAATGCAAGTATGGCTGTAGAATGTGAGAATTACGGTAATTCTCAATCTAATGGCTGGCTATTTTGGAGTCTCTAACTACTGTTAATTATTGTGACGTCATGTTATGAACTGTTTTTATACAATTGCGGTGTAACTTTATAGAATAAAGAGGAAATGAATTCTTTGGCGACTGTTTTTGAATAATCATTGCACTCTTTCATGCTTTATTACTGGTTAGAACACCAAGGTGATCTTCTGTTACATGGTCCAACCGAGTGATTTTTTTGTGCTTTTGTCCTCTTTCTCGTAAGGTATGAAACCCTGTTGCGGTATACGGACCATTAAAGGTGCCATCGCATGGGTCTCCTTCATTGGAATAGCTGGCGTTCTCCTACAATTGCTGCGCAGCCTTAAGAGCTTTAATGACAACTGTAAAGATGGGGAATCTGAATGTACAAAAACGTTTTGGTTAATTGCTGGATCTTCACTAGGTGGTGCACTGTTTCTGTTCATTGCTTTCACCATAATACGACATTTCTTGGTACGTAAGTAATATTAGCCCTTTCATTCAGAACAATTTCAGTTCTTTTTTAAAACGAAAAGAAATCACTGTACTGTGCAAAACTGGATCTACTAAAGAGGTCTTTTTTAATGGTAACATCATAGGCCGATTTACTCCAAAGTTTCAAACGTTAGAATAGTTCGGTATAAGTTGTAAACACTTGTAATTGGGCATTCAGGTAGAACCAATGGTAAACGGCATAAATATATGGTGACAGACAATTCAGTTTTTATAAGAGACGTTTTTGATAATGGCGTTGTGGTACACTAAGTCTGTTGACTCATTACTCTTAAGTAATGAGAGTACCAAAACAACTGAAACACACGTACAAATTTTTGTGTTTGTTTTTTTTTTTTAAATAATCTGCAATACGCTATGGAAGTACAGGCTTATTATCAAGCGTTGATTAGGGATACTAACAGATCCTGCTATCTACACCACTGCAAGCGGTCTTCAGTAACTTTTTGTAATAAAAACAACCTATTGTCTGGTGGATCCAGGGTTTTTCAAGGTAAGACTGACGCCGGTTGTAGAAGATACAGCTTCAAGGTTCGCCGGCTAGATTCTAAAGCCGACCGTAAGGGAAAATAAAGAGTAGTTTGAATATCTATGTATTTCCAAAGTGACATCCCTTTAAAGATAGGCCTGTTTGGGTTTGTAAACAGCCCAACCCACAGATGAAAACACCCAGCGTTTTTTGGGTTAACATAATAATAAATTAAGTATAAGCTGTAAATGTCCCCTTTTTACAGGTTACTTGTTTTCCTGTCGCGTGTGGTCACAGAAAATGCATTTTTACCGGACGAAGCTCCAAACCTCTTAGAGATATTCTTGTGTCTGTGGACGACAACATTCCTTGCGAAGAAGACCTAACAGAGTTCATAGACAAAGCTTTAGCGGTGATGAACGACATCAGGACTGAGCTGGAACAAATAATGCAGAGAACAAGATTCCAGTTTATCTTCTCAGGAAGTGCGGTGGAAAGATACGGGATCCCGTTCATGTTGTCTTATAAGCCCACAGATTGTGCCTGTAATTCAACATGTCAAATTAATGCTTTATACACGGATCTAGACGTGATGTTTTGTTCCCTGACAGACAAAGCAACTTTTTCTGGCGAAGGAAACATTCTTGTCGAACCTTTCGTAACGGATGATGCTGGTTTCACAGGCTACGCTAAGCTAACTTCTCTCACTCCCGGCTATCAAGGAAGCTGTGTTAGTTCAAAACTCATCAGAGATCAAGCCAAAGTTGCTGTAGAAAATACGCGTGTATCAAATCTCCCTGGTGTGCCATGCTGTTGTGGAATGTCTGAGTTTACTCCTAAAATTCAGCTACATTGCAAGGGACCAGCGATGAAGATCAACATTAAACCCCTCTTCGAGGTAGACGTAACTCTTTGCTTTCACTGTGCCGAGTGGCCTACGTTAAGTGACTGGCCTTCTCGACCGAGGTACTGGCCCAGTGTTGCTGATGCGCAAAGAATGATATCACTTGGTTGTCACCTGGTGGCAAAGCCAGCACCGAGTGACGTGGACCAAAGAAGTTGGAGATTCTCGTTCTCTTTGGCAGAAGTTGAGCTTTCCAAGCTTGTCCCAGACGTGGCAAGGAAATGTTTTGTGGCTTTGAAAATCATCCTAAAGGATCACCTTCAACCGGTTCTCCCTGAAGTTGGCTCTTACCACATCAAAACCATTTTTTTGAACACATTAGAGAAGGTGCCGGTTGGTTTCTGGACAGAAGACAACATCGAAGAGTGTTTGCTGACATTGTTAACGGAACTTTGTGATGCCCTGCTGTCCGTGAAATGTCCCCATCACTGGTTTAGTTTCGTCAATTTATTCATTGACATTGACGAAGAAGATCTCCAGCGTCTAGCAAGGAAGGTAGAAAGAATAATTAAAGACCCGGCTCCTTTCATTTTTGACGATGGTTGTTGTTGTCTGTCCCCATGTTGTTTCCGTGTGCCTCAGTATAATTTCACTCGCCGAACTAGTCAACAGTTTCTTGTCGACTACGACGAGATTACCATATCTGTAGACGGGAATATGATCCCAAGAGAAGTCCAACAAAATAACTCTCCCAATCAATTGCCAGCATCTTCTTCCGTGATGCCATGGGCACAAATCGTTTCAGAACGTTCTCTAGGATCAAGTTCAAGACCTGATGGGCTTGTGGTAACTCTTCCTCCAGTACGTAATCCCGAAAGAAGGTCTGCATCATTTATGGATGATTCAGAAATGGAGTCGTCAAGAGAGGCAATACCCTTGACTGTTATTTTACCGCCCACATAGATACATTATTTTGTTTAAACAAGAAAGCTGCACAAAAGGGATTCCCAGACAGGTATATGACATTTAAGTTAATGCAGGAAGGATAGATCCTGAGAAGAGTCTGTTTTAAGCAATATTATTCTAACAAGTTTTGTTGATAGATTTTCTAGTTTTAGTATGTGATATTTAACCGATAGTTTCTATCCTTATTCTGTTGCAAGATAAATTTAATAGAGCGCTATTATCGTTTTTGCCAACTCTCCCGGATTATCTGGGAGTCTCCTGAAATACTGCACAATTTTTCCCCGTCTCTCGCACTGATCACCAAATCACCAAGATAAAATACCATTTTGAGCTTTTCTGTTGCATAGGTTGAAATTTTTCCCATTTCTCCAACAAGTTCAAACATGTTTCGAGCATATAACGGTTTGCGTGGTATTTGGACTTTAGGAGTCTATTTTTCATTAACAAAGGCGAATTTTTAAGACTTGGTATGATTTCCTGAGCCATGTTATAACCTGGCTACTGGGTCGATTTGTGTTTATGTGGAAGGGGGGCTCCACTGCTCAAGATTGTATATCCGTTGAGCTCCGTTGGCAGCTAGGTCTCAAGGTCTTGATGATTTTTTTTGCCTACGATTGCAGAAGCCACTTAATGTAAAGTCAGTCATGCGCGTTATGGACATGGTGGCTTATTGTTAGAAGAGAGGATTTTACAGCGGGAAGAGAAAGACCAAAAAGGCGGGGAAAAGTAGATATCGTGATCTGCTAACGATTTACTGGAAGCCGATTATGTGACAATTGCGACCTATTCACCAAATTTTAGATAAACCACCGAGATGCCTTTGATTTATGATTTGAAAAGCTACTGGCGGTCGTGTTTTATTCATTAACAAATTTGCCGTCAACTTACGTCTGCCTTTGTTCTTACTGGTACGCCAAAATGTGTATCTACGTAGAATGAACACCACTTGTTGTGCAGCTGTTACGGATCTTATGATCCAACGATAGCGACACCAATAAACGACGCTGAAAAATCCACTAGCGCATCCTTTCAAACTTTTTCGCTATTATTGCAAGTCACCGTCGTAAAATAGTAAGGTCCCCATTACAATAAAAACCCGCTGTTAACAGCCATCAAAACAAGATAACCTTGAATAACATTAGAAGGAACCTTAAAAAGGAAATTGATCTATCCTTGCACAGGAAGCAGAGGAGTTCAGTTTGAGTTAGATAATAGAGTATCTCTTACCTCTTTGATTGCTGTAATCTGTTAATTATCCGTACGTTAGTTAGCCGTGTATGGTCATTTTGGGTCGGTTAACCATTGTAAACTATTCCCTTTGATCGTCCCTTTGGCTCAACGTTTCTTTCCGACCGTCATTATTTTAAACTTAACCGCTGTATAAAGCGCTCGTGGGCTCTCAAGATTCCTTCCCTCACCAGTTGCTGCGGTCCACATCAGAATGGTCACGTAATACAAGTTTCATCCCTTGTCTCTTTCTTTCTCTCTGCATTTCGTGCCTCTTTCCGAAGACATTCCGCCGAAGGCCAACGGAGTACCCACGTGCGCTTCATTCAGCGGTTGTTGTGTTTTAAAATAATGGCGGTCGGAAAGAAACGTTGAGCGAAAGGGACGATCAAAGGAAAGTGTTTACAACGGTTAACCGACCCAAAATGATCACACACGGCTAACTAACACACGGATAATTAACAGATTACAGTAATGCAAAGGTAAGAGATTCCCTTTGTCCTTGTAAATTTATTTCATTAAAATGCAAGGTCTAAATGCCAGTAATTTCTTTTTCTGTCGTTAGCGTAAGGAGTTCAGCCAAATAAACAAAAAACAACCAAAAACAACAATAACAAAACGCTCCACCAACGACATTGCTATTAATTATAAATGATTTATTAAAATATTTTTAATTTATGTCTTTATAAAGTTTTAATGGTTAGTCCCTTTCGTAGAATTGAAGGTTTCCTGACGAGGATCGATGTACCAAAATGATGCTGCTTCATGTTTTATCTTATTTGCAACGGTAAAAATAAAAGCATTGTTCTACATCCTTACGTGTTAAGACTTTGATTTTCAAAGCTTTATATATTTTTACTATAAAATGAAAAAAATCTTATGGAACGTTAAGAGTGTTTCTGCTTATGTCCGAAGAACTCTTCTATTCTCTCGCCGAAAAAGGACTTTTCAGGACAGAGACAGCAAAGACCAAAATTCACTGGACCCTGAAAGACAGCCAAAAGATTAATAAATAACATGTGGTGAGAAACGTTTTGGTCAAAATTACGGTCCAACCTATATTTGGGAGTTTAAGAAACAACGACGGCGAGGACTACGAAAACGTCACTTGAAAAGTGAATTGCGCTGCTTTAAACTTTATCGCGCTTATTCCATCTCGTTTAATAAATTAATATTGTCAGATGTTGGCCATTTTTTCTGGAGCTGACTGAGCTCTAAAGGACTGCATCGAATTTCAGGAAAAGAAAAGAAAGTTGTTGTCTTGTTTTCACGTCCACCACAGAACATGAATTTAGGCAGTTTCACGTCGTATTCGTCCAGTGACTGGAAAGAAATTAATGTACAAAAAAGTGTGCTGCACGTGCAAAGTTGTTTTTTAGCTAATCCTTTTTTACCGTTATCGTTGCCGTCGCCGTCGTCGTTGCTTAAGCTCCCTATATTGAGACTATTGTGTCGGCCTGACGGACAGTCCAATATTTCACTCTTGCATTTTTTACGATCCTCTTTACAACGGCCACCTCCCTAAAACGCCACACACCTCTACCCCCAAGGTGCTAGTTGTGAAGAGACTTGACCGTTGACTTGTGGCTCCTTATTATTCTTGATTTTTTGACAATGAGTGATTGTATAGCATCTTTCAGTAAAGTGCAGGTAGTACAACTTAGTTGATTTTGTGAGTCACTCCTCGAGACTGTAAAAGCTCGAACCACAGATTGAATTGCCTGATCTCCGAGATGTCTTTTTCGACTTTGCAATCAGTTTATGTGTTTAAGAGAGCATTATCCTCCCTTGGTGTGTTATGGTGAGCGGTTAACACTTTAAGAAATCGCCCTCGATCCACCCAGAGCCCATGCACTCATGACACTCAACTATAAAAGCAAAGGCATATGACTCTGATATTTCGTTATCCATTATTTTATTTTTGGATAATTTGCCTTCAAATAGTGTATAGTTTCCCCACAAAAAGGTTATCGCAATAGTTGAATTCGTGGGCTACCGTTGCCAAATGGTGCCTCTAAATTGTACCTTAAAACGTGTATTACAGCCTCCTCCCTGACAGTCGTTACGTCAGAGCGTAATACACCTCTTTAACCTGTATGTTTTGATTTCCCAATAGAGTCCTAGGGAAACTTGACCCTTTGTCTTTTCAGAAATCATGCTTATATATGCACGTGAATTAGAAAGTGAATTGAAAGAAACAATTCTCTAGAGTATTATCACATGACCTGACAAAAATTATATAATTATATGTGTACTCATTATACCCAGTCAGCGTTTGCGTTCCTAATTACTATACCAATCAAGTAGTACTACCATCAATTCATACCAAACAATAGAATGACAAAGATGTCACTCTTCTTCTGAGATGAATTTCAATATTAATGAAGTATAAGGGTAAAAACAATCCCTGACTAGCGTTATGAAATATATATGCCTAAATTGTTGGTTAAACGCTTTGCCCTTGTCTTACCTCCTCATCTAGTGAACTTAAATAAACAATCGGGCCGTTTGCGAAGCTCTTCTTTTCCTCACTGTCAGGTGACACACTTCTGGAACGGCCCTCGGCTTCTTCTCGACATAACATATTTTCTCGAATATTCCAGTGGTTTTCCTGCATTTCCCGTTCGTGTTCACTTTTATGATGTTTGAAATTAACATCTGTCTTCATTACCAGTACATCTAAATCATCAGTCGACGTTGCCACCGATACCATGACGGGCCTTTCCCGTGCTGAGGACGAAACTGACGTCGCTTCCTTTTCTGCTCTCTCAAATTCTAAGCATGGTTTTTCTGCCCACAAGGGTGGATAACCAGGTAAACGTTTCATTTCTGTTGATGTCCCTTGTGTTGATAAATCTCCACAATACGTAGCTTGTCGTAATTCTGATGAGCGTTGATGATCGTCGTCAGCCTCTTTACGCGTGCCTAACATGCAACCTTCATCCACTGTCCTCCGTCCTCTTAGCAACATTAAAGCGGTTTTATGCTCCTCAAGCTTATTTTTCCTTTCTTCAAACTCAAGTTTTCTCTGCTGCATTTTAAGTTGCGCTCGGATATCGTCAAGTTCTCTCTTCAGAGAAGCTTTCTCTTTGCAGGCTTTTACGTGAAGTTTTTGAGAGTCGATGTGACGCGTCTCAATTCCCTTCACACTTATCTGTCTTGAAAAATAAGTTTGAATTGTTTCTTCCTTCTCGCATGTCTTCGTAAAAGAACGACCGTAGTTTAGCGATGCGCCGTTTGATTCTTCTCTGATTTCTGTAAAATAATATAAACTAATGAATAAATACTATAAAAATTTGAAACACCTCGATACCTGCATTCCAGACGATCTAGTTGAGAGCTCTATAAAACTTCTAAGTACAGAACAAATGTTGTTGATCATGTCTCCGTGCAGAGCTCAGAGCTTCGTTCTTAGATCTGCAAAGATGCATGGGACTTTTTGCTCCTTAGTCACAAACGCCTTATTAGGAAACTGTTGTGGTAAGAAAAGTGAAATAATCCTTGTTTTACGAGTGTTGCGACAAGCAAAAAACTCTTGACTGAAATGGGCGCATGACATTCCGGCCAAACACGTACCAGGTGTGCGGGCTGTCCACGGAACCCACTTAACTGCTTTATATGATGGGCAAAATCATTCACTTGTTCACTACTGCGCTCAAGTTTTGCCATCTTTTAATATTTCTATATTTTAGAACCACGTACGAATTGAAAATGAAGTTTTGATTTGATTTTTACATCGCCAAATTTACATAGTTAGAAAAGAAAAAAAAGGAAATAGGAATAATTTAAAACAAGATTTAAAAAAATTAAATCAATTCCTTTTTGTGGCAGTTTTTCATGCTTTCCCCTTGAGCTGACAACTTTTTCCTGTTCATATAGAGTGACCAGAACAACGAGAGAAAAACGTTTAAAAAGTATATTATTTTGGCTCCCTTCAAGAAGTTATTTTTGATAATTGCCATGAGACAGTTCATCTTATGGCAAAAACTGCTGGGAAAGATTCTCCAGCTATCTATCATCAAAAAGCTGATCTTGATAGGCTTACCTCTCAACTCAGCAACCAACTGGCTGGGAACAGGAATTTCCTTCGCAATGATCCTTTTCAGCTGTAGTATCTCCTCATGATACTTCTTTAAAATCGTATCTTTTGGATCCTCATTTATCTTTGGCTTGTTCTTAATACTATTTGCACGCGCAGCATATCTCAGAGTGCTCAAGGTCTCTTCATAATTATTCTCCCCAGGACTTATGCAGGCAATCATCAAAGTCTTTGAGTTTCCACCTAACGAGTCTTGCAGAAGCCTCGTTAGTTTTGAGTCACGATAAGGAACATGTGTACATCTGCAGTCGACCAAGGACGATATGACATTCCCGAGAACCGATAATGACAAATTTATTTTCGTCGATTCTTTAAACCGTTCGCCAGTACAACCAGTTTTACTCTGACGCTCACTTCCCGCCAGATCTACCAGGTTGAGCTTGCCTGTGCGATAGACCTCCTTTTTGCCTGGACCAGAACAAAGGCAGGCCTCGAGGTCGATGGTAAAGATCGAATGAGACCGAGATGAATCAGCATTCATCAAAGTTGAACCTACTGACCGATTCTTACGTCCTGATTTTAAGATCTCCCTTATATCCTCGTAGCTATCAACAGTTATGCTTGATAACCCCTTGACGTAAATTCCTTTGTCTGGGCGTTCCTTAATTTCAGGCTTGTACTTATACTCCTTGACTAGCAGATCTCGGATTTCTTCATTGTATATTTCCAGGTATGACACGCGCAGTAGATAATTGTTATGTTTTTCCAGACTGCGCTGGCGTGTACTGCTCAAAATGTGTTCACAACATCGAGGGATGATTCCCTTTTGTGCCGAAGGGGTTTGAATACCGTCCATTGTAAATGTCTTCCCGCACGATGTCTGCCCGTATGCAAACACAGTACCATTGTATCCTTCAACGACGCCGTTAACAATTGGACACACAATTTCAGAATAAATCACCTCTGTGCTACTTGAAATGCCGTAAACTCCATCAAATGTAAAGTTCTTGGCTGATTTGGTATCATCTCCAGACCTTTGGATGCTGCACTGATGCAGTAAGGAGTTAGTTTCTATCACAAGTCTCGTGTTCATTTCTCGTTCTTTTTCATTCAGGGGTCTACAACGAACAATCACTTTGACACTTTCACTCATGCTAAGCTTGAGGGCGTGGCAAGTGCGATAAGTAAGAGCCCCTATAAAAACTTCTCTTGGTAGCTGTCATTTGCCGGCTTTTATTGAAATTCTTAAGGACCTTTGTTTTTCGTGATAAAAAGGGCTGCAAAAAGAGAAAGATCAGCTTTCTTAAAAAGACAAATACACAACCCACCACCATGCTTAGGCTAGGTTTATTTCCAGATTTATTACATTTAGGAAATTCGTTTTCGCAGGGCGTTAACGCGTATCAGAAGATCCAAGAACATAATTTGGATACAAAGTTTTGACTTAGTTTAGGCTATGTTCACACCATACCGAACAGCTTTTGCTCAGGCACAAAAAATGTAACTGTTCGGGCTTCTGCTCACACATAAGAACTGTGATTTGGGCGCGATTTCTGTAACAGAGCGAAGCTGCCTCGAGCCGATCTTTAAAAGGGGAGAGTGGCATATCGGATAGGTGTTCAAATTGTTCCTGATAGCTTGAAGTCTCGGCACGAAAAGCTATCCCGCGGTATTAGTCTGAACATAGGTTTAGATCCCCATTTAAAATTTTCCCACCATTTAATTGACGTGTCTTTATATGAAAGAAGATCATCGCAGTTATAGACGCAACTTAAGCAGTTTGGAAAAGAAAGCCTGAAAAAAAAAATCTGGCTTGTACAGGATTCGAACCCTTGACCTCTGCGATACCGGTGCAGCGCTCTTACCAATTAAGCTAAATAATGAGCCAATGCAACTGGGAGCAGAACGTTGAATTGGTTCTTTATAAACCAGTGAAAGGATGATGATGAAATTATGAATATGTGAAAATCATATAATGTGAACTGCGGGGTGAAGAATTATATAAAAGTAGATCATCGCAGTTATAGAAGCAACCGCTTTAGGGCAAGAGCTAAGAGTGAAGAAAGAGCTGAGAAGGAAACTCTTCAATGCTTTTGTTTTGTGTTAGCTTCCTGCCACCCGTACGTTTGCAGGAGTTTGGACATTCTGAAGAGATTAGTGATCTCTGTTCAAACGAAGATTATAAGCTTATCGTGAATAAAAAAAATAATAAACGAGAAGTTGCGTATATCTGAAAGAAAGGAAAAAAATAAAACAACTAGTTGCTATTAACAACTGAGCATCAAAATGTAATGATCCGAATCACTGGTACCAGCATTTCAGAAAGGAACATTGAAGAGAGTAGTGTTTTGAAGAGAAAGCTCCTTTATATCTCATCATGTGGTGTTTTAAAGCCATTTTAAGTATAAGTTAGAACCTGCTAGAAACAAAATGATAAGGGCTCTCTTTGAGGTGTTTGTGTGCCAATGGCCTTGTATTTTGCTATGGTATCACTTCCGACTCGATGAGGCTTAAAGCGCAGGTGTTGCTATAACACAAGACCGTTACGAGGTGTAACAAGCGAAGGCCTGCATAGACCGTAATAGCTAATAAGAGTGATACAAATTAAAGCAATAACGCAAAAGTGAGGGTTTAACGTATTGCAAGATGGTGGAACTTTGTCGTGGAATACTGACTACTAAATGAGACATTTTAAACATCACACATGACTAGCTGGCGCTCGTTTTCCATAAAACAAAGCCTCCAAGATCCCCTGCAGGGACCTAAAATATAAAATCATCTCAGTCACGTAAATAGAAAGTGTTCAAAATTATAGTCCGTTTAGGACACATGTCGTAATTTAGCTGTTGTTTTTAGTATCCTGTAGAGGTCTTCTTGTGGTATTATATATCTACATCTGATTGGATACCGGCCACTGAGCAACTACTAATATTTACACAGGTATAAGTTCTGTGGATTCCCGACCAACCTCACAGAGTTTAACCTTCTCACTCATTCCAGTGAGAGACATACGGTTTAATTTTGGTACAGGAAAAAACAATTCTTGTATTCGCAGTTGTGAAAGAATACATATGAACTAGATTCATTCGATTCGAATTCTTCTCTGCGAGCTAAAGTGAAAACTCGGTACAGAAAAATTGTTTTTGGGTGTCATTTTAACACATACCTTTTCACATGTTATCTCGTCCAAGCTAAACCATTATTTTCACCAGCGTTTACGGTTCGTTAAGAAACTTAAACCATGAAAGGGAAACATAATTTTTACGAAGCCAGCCAACGACTCCCCTGGAAATCAAATATTCAGGAAATACATGGCTGAGTAAGCTTAATTGACTTTACGTTAAATTCCTTGAACAGAAATGACCAAGCTCAATGAAATGTGTTATGTTTTAAACGCTTCGATTGATTGTCAATGATGCTTGCACAAACAACTGTAAAATTGAAAGAAAATGGTATAAGGAAAATTTGCAAACAATTGGCGTAAGCTCCTAAAGACGTTTTTTTACCTCAAAATTATTGCCTTTCAACAAAACAAAATAAAGCGTAACATTTGCACACCGCCATTCTGCAAGAAGAGGAAGAAGAAAGAGAAGAAGAAAAAAACGAGCCAGTGTTAAAAAATGTTTTAGAGAAATCAAGTTCACTGAAACTAAGATTTTAATCTCGTTTGCAAAAACACATTTTATTTCAACTTATGATAAATCTTCTACGTTACAGTAATGAGAAAAAAAAATTGATGCAGAGATCTGAAAGTGTGAATTGTGAATGTGTCAACTTATTTTCCGTGCATTTGGGTCCATGTTAATATTGGCTCCCTCTGGTTTCTCAGGCCATTCGCTCAAGCGTAGCAGTGCGTTCTCTATTCAGTTCAGTGAACACGATGTAGTAATCGTTTCACGCCTGATAAATAACATTCCTGAGAGATGAAATCTTTTCTCCTACGCTCTGTTAAGAATGTTCGAAGCAAAGAGCAAAGAACCGGGCAACCCCTGGATCAGTCTTAACTAACTTGTAAGGTCACTATGACCCCCC